GAGGGGACGCCTACAAATCTCAGTGCTGCGCTGGAACGCTCTGGATAGGCCACTCGCATTTACATAGGGTATTGGGTTTTAGGTTCTGGGCTAATCCGACACGAACGAGTGCCCCTCAATTCCGCCAGGTAGCGGTTTCTCTAGCAGACTCTCGCGACCAAATTATCTGTCTCATGTGGCATGGCATTCCAATCTGCTTCTCCAACACTTCCCTCTATCTCCTCACGGTATACACGACAGAGACTGTACAGTTCGAGCTACCAATATGCCAATAGTAGTAGACGCTACATTCAATGTACATGTGCATGCGTGGTTCTGCAAGTATTATTCTGTGAACAGACGGAGCCTGCCTGAGGATGCTGGTCTCCTCCTTGCGCGTGCGGAACTTCGGAAATCTAACGCTTGAGGTTGTAGGGCTCAGCATTAGGTTCCAGGGACCAGGTGCGGCTGAAGTGTCATTCAAGCCTAACCCTAAACCCAAAAAACATGAACCCTAAACCCTAAACCCCAAAGCTCGGAACCCCTCAACCTAAACCTTAAACCCCGAAAGCCCTAAACGTGTTGAAGCCGGCTTGAATGGATGGACAAGTTGTCAAGCTGTCCTGGAACGCAGCAGTGCACTGAGCAGTACATGTGTTTATATACGTTATTCAAAACATAAAACGTAGTTCCACATATTGCTACTGCTATATGTGTGTAAGTGTGTGCATATATATGTGTGTGTAAATATAAATAAATAAATATATATATATATATATATATATATATATATTCGGCTGATATCATGCTTCAGACCATCTAGTATTTATTCTGCTGCCCGACCACCAGACACTTACTTCACGATCTTGCGCATTATGCAGGCCGTCGTTGATCGTAGAGAAGTCGATTGTTCAAGCAAGAGGTCTGTTCCCTACAGTTCGGCCATGTCGGTGGAGAACGGGAGGGAAGGATCCAACTCGAGCGCATGTGGGTAGTTATCGAAATAGGATCCCGTTTTAGGAACCCGAAAGGAGGCATCAACCTCATAAAAAAGGACCCTAAACTGGTTCCTAATTCGGGGAACTACTGTTGATGATATAAACCCTACATTACCCTAGGACCCTAGACTATGGAAATTCTGGTATATGGGTACTGCAGGATTTGGGAGTTTCCGCAAACAGGGGACTCTGATACAGCACCCTCAAATAGTAGGATCCTTTTATAAGGACCCCAAAATAAGGTACCCCCCAATTTTCGGAAACTCCCATTTATATCATCAACAGTAACTTGGGGAACTACCCATGCCCGGCTGGATTCCTGCATGTCCTTCGGAAGCATCTCCCCCACCTGGTGGCGGCAGTGTCTGAGAGGAACGAGAACTCGAAATACGGTGGATGATCAAAATCTTGAGTTTACCTTAAGGACCCTAAACTATGGGAAGTAGGGTGTAATCCTGAACATGGGTATTGCAGGATGTATAATCATCAACCGTATCATCATCACGAGTGCAAACACTGGTGGCTCTAATACGTGTGCTAATGCGGCTTCTGCTACGATGACCATGCGAAGGAGGAGCAGCAGCCAGAAAAGTGCAACTACCAAATTGTCCCGAAACACGCGACACAGAGTGCTACAATATTCGAAATGGCAGTATGGGCAGGCTGAAGCAGTACTACTATTATTACTAGTACTACTATTACCACTGTCCCCACTTAATTATGCTTATTATCATATATATATATATATATATATACATACATACATACATATGCCTTATTTACACTAGGTATATATATATATATACATATAGTATAACGGTACCCTCATAGTAACCCTTATAGTTAACCCCTCGACCCCGTTAAAGGGACCCTATTCTAATTAGAAGGCCCCCAGTGTTTCTCGCCGTTGTTAAAGAGCCCCGAGCCGACCGAAGATCACGTTGGCATCGGGTACAAGGAGGGCCGTCCCTAGACCCTACCTTTAAAAGAAGGTGTCCTTCAAAGGGATCTATAAGGGGTCCGGCAACGGGTCCTTCAAAGGGATCCATGAAAAATGTTTTTAGGGTTCTTCATTATGATTTTCTTATATGAATCCTTGAAAGGGTAGATTATTTGGGGTTAGGGTACATCTTAAACTTGGACAGCAGTTTTTGTGGAGATTCGCATTTCTACATTGGGGAGGACTGCAGTGGGCAAATCAGCACTAATTATTACGAACCCTTTATAGCTAAGCCTCAGCCCGCCAGTTTCACCTTTTTAGGACCTCTCTATGGGGGCCTTCTATATGGGTGGGTGTCAAAATTAAGGTCCCGTTTGGGGTACCCTAAATATGATGTGCCGTACTATATTAGGGATCCAAAAGGGGACCATTATTTTGACAACCAGCTATATGTAAGCAACAATCGTACTAAGCATTCTCAACCCTTCTGTAGAAACTGTCTTATGCAACCCTTAAAGGGAACCCTCAAAGACCTCTCTCACGCACACGTTTCGCACACCCATGCTCAGGTACCAATGTCTAG